TCAATCCTGGCAACCCCGAGCAATGGAGAGGGACAATGGAGACATTGACTAGATCCGTCCTTGAATTGGCTGGCATCAAAGAAGCTCCAACCAAGAAGTTGACTGAAAAGGCACTGCAGCTCATTCAATGCACTGAGAACAAAGGCCCCAAGGCATGAAAGTCTTTCGGTCCAGCCAATTAATTGTGCGGTGTTCCCCGGCTCTCCACGTTCACCCTGCTCCAACAATCCTGAGGGCCCAAACGACTTTAGGCAACTTGCTGGCTCTCGACAAGGGAATGCTCCAAAAGAACTATCCCTTCTGGTTTCCGTCAACAAGAGAGATTAGATCAACTGACTCAGTGGATAGCATGTCCAGGATAGCACAGTGTCGTTTGTGCGTGCACTGGGAGACCGCAAAGCTTTTGCCCTAGCCGCTTCACTCAGTTACCAGCTTCATGCAGAGGTGGCTCAAAGGCAAGTGCAAGTGGCAAAAGCTTTCCATGAGCAATAAGGAATCTATTTGCCAGTGCTACATGAGCAGCATTGTTGAGAACTGTAGACCATGTCTGTGCCACCAGCATTGCCCTGCCACAACCTTGTATACATTGCTCGAAGCATCTATAGCATGCCAGCCTGCCCGTGATGGCGCGAAGGCCATACGAGGCTCTCGGTTGAACCTCCCAATTCAATCTGTGCATTGTGTGGGCAAGCTATGGGCACGCGAATGGCTAGGATCAAAAGGCAAGCCATCCACAATGCATCCTCAGGTGATTGCTCAAAGCTTACATTCGGCTTGGCTTCGCCGAATAGGATCAGAATCTCTTCGGACAGAGAAAGCTGCAAGTTCCGAAGCCAAGTAACACCCCCATATTGGTCGCCCTTAGGCATCTCCTTTCTGGACAATCAAATGGATTGACCCAGCCCAGCCTGGAGGAAGATGGGGTGCCGAACCTACAGTCTAACTACTGGCCATGCAGAACCCAAAGGACGGAGGAGGTACCAAGAAGTGGTTGCGACCGTTGTTGTCTGAGCGTATCATAGAGCCAGAGGCATGCAATCCTGATTGTGACCAAGGCTAGACTGGTTGACCAGTTCGTGCGCAAGCTAAGACGCGAATCTTGGTTGTGTAGACCTATCCCAATCATATCAGAGCCCTCATCTTCAATACAGGATGCAATAGTGGCTGCAATGTGGCCTTAAACGTGTCTCCCCCGTAAGCTTCCTTTTGGCCTTTGGCCAGCGCAAGGTCTGTTACCCGACGTTCCCAAAACATCACCAGGACTCGGCTGGCGCCGGCCCCAGCAAAAGCTCCCCCCGTCCCGGACCCCTGAGCTGGGCTCGCGCACCCTGAGCTGGGCGCAAGCCCATAGAGCCGCTCCAGCCTGGCAAAAAAAGCTACGCAGTAGGCCAACGCTAGGCCAACGATAGGCCAACCGCAACAGCAGCAAAAGCAGGAGCGTACGCCCTCATGAAATAGGATGTGAAACAAGAGCGGTTGCCACCCGAGGGGCATGTGAATTGCTGTTGCCAGCAAGAGATTTGCACATGAACGACGTCCAAAACAAGCAGCTGGAGAAAGCGACGGAGTAGCCTCCATGCACCTCTGCAATGGTAAGGCGCACACAAAGCATTGCGCTTAAGGAAGCGGTTCTTAGATTCTTGGTAGAAGAACAGTGGCAATCCCTCAAATGGTCGCTGCTGTGAAGCAACAAGCAACCCATTGCAGCTGCAACAAGCAGCAATGCGGCAATCAATGAGCAACAAAAGCAACAGGCGGCAATATAAAAGGCAATAGCAGCAAATAGTGAAATATGCAGAAATAGATGGCAACCAATTGCAACAGACTGTAACAGGCCACAAAGCACAGCAATAGCAGGGCAAAGCAACTATCAGTAACAAGTGCATGCAGAAACAAAGCAGCAATTGGCAACAGGCAATTACAAGCAACAACAGAAGCGTGTCGCACTTGACGCTGCAAGTAGTCGGACCTATTGTTCAAAGAGCTCTGCTATCAGGCGATGCGATACTGGACAAGACTGTGCAAGCGACTCGGGGCCAGCCCAGCTCTTGCAGTCAGGCGCGCTGTTCAAATTTGTCCTAGAGCAGCAGAGTACGCAGGTGATATCATTACCAACAAGGCAGTAGACTTCACTGCCATGACAGCTGGCAAGAAAACAAAACGAATATTCTTGAGCAGGTGATGCCCTAGACCGGCCCGAATGGCATCTCCCTGGAAGCGTGGCAGCAGCCACTCTCGCCGCTCCTCAGCCCAGCGGCGCCTCGGAGGGGTAAGGCTACAGCCCCTTGAAGATTTGCCCTGCGTTCACTGAAAAGCGCACGCCCCAGATTCCCCAGTGACACTTCTCCAAGAAATCTATGCCAACCTCTGCGCTTTACCTATTGGTGGGGGGACCGTTCAAGAATGGTTTTATGGAGCTCCCTGCGCAGAAAACCAGGGATTGGTCGTGGAACACAAGTCTAATCTTACAAGAAACTCAGCACAGACAGAACTGTCCCCGGAATTGTCAGTTAAACAATCAGATCAAGCCGCTCAACTGCCAGCTATACTTTTCGTTCAACGCCTGATGTACCCACGCACAGCACCCGGTTGCCTAAGACATCACTCCTCAGGTGGGAATTTGAGCACACAGCTCTGCTAAGAAGACTTCAGTTGCTGCGTTCTTCAACACCAGAGCTGCAAGTGCCCGCCTTGCGTCTCAATCAAACATGCACTCACTTGAGTCGGCGTATAAGTATTTCAACAGCGATATGTATACATGTACTACTGGCGGGATGCTGCCTAACTTGAGAACTAACCCAGCTGTGAACCGCACATGCACAACAAGTTGCTGAGAGAAGAAGAAAGCTTCTCGACTGCATGACGAGCTAGGGCTCAGCATAAACATATGCATGACCAATGCATCCGCAAGTAGCTTGAGAATTGTGGTTTCGCATATTTGCCCACATCTGAGGAGTCTGTCCGATCTCTGAAACTCACAGACCTGGCTCTTGCCCCAAGCGAAACCCCATTCCAACACCTCTTCAAGCCTTGATGTGCAACCGGCGTGCATGCTGATTCTCTGAACCAAGCAGGGCATTGCCAAGCTGAGCTGCGCGACTGGTTCTAGCAGCCCAACGCTGGGGCTCCCCACTGCATTTCCCTGCGCGCTGACACCACGCGCTCGGCGCAAAGCGATGCGCAGTAGGAAGCCGTCTTTTGGACCTCAGTCCAAGAGTATCATGAGGAACGAGCAATAGAAACAACTGCAGCATGCCCTGCTATATGAATGTCGCATGGGTCCCTGCGTGCCTGTATATCAGTGTATATATATCTATATATATATATATTATGTATAACAATGTCTCTGTACATACATTTCTATATACACACGTCTCTATCAATGGTCACTGTGTTCCATGCAAACAAAGCAAAAATGAACGCTGACAAATCCTGGCTGCCCTTACCACTGTGTTTCATTAAAGGGGTGTGATGTTCCTTCGGTGGTTTCTCACATCCTGGTCGCTCATTGCTTGTCGGATCACACGCTATATGGGTGAGCCTCTCTTGAGAGTATCCTTTGGTGGTGCAGCCGCAAAGGAACCACCCAGTTTGAGGATGCTTTAATTTAGCTGTGAGCTATGAGTGTTTGGGCTGGGCTTCCGGGCTCCCTCCTGCATCAGCTGGATCACCTCCTCCCGGACAGCATCCATCAGGCGGCTGACATCCAGCGCCACATCCTCACATAGATAGATAGATAGATAAATGGATGGATGAATAGATAGAAAAAAATACGTGGACAACTGCCTACAGGTTCACAAATGCCTACGTGAACCCACGAACTCATTTACATGTATGTATGTATGTAATGTAATGTAATGTAATGCAATGCAATGCAATGCAATGCAATGCAATGCAATGTAATGTAATGTAATGTAATGTAATGTAATGTATGTATGTATGTATGTATGTATGTATGTATGTATGTATGTATGTATGTATGTATGTATGTATGTATGTATGTATGTATGTATGTATGTATGTATGTATGTATGTATGTATGTATGTATGTATGTATGTATGTATGTATGTATGTATGTATGTATGTATGTATGTATGTATGTATGTATGTATGTATGTATGTGTGTATGTAATGTTATGTCATGTCATGTCATGTCATGTTATGTTATGTTATGTTATGTTATGTTATGTTATGTATGTAATGTATGTTATGTATGTTATGTATGTAATGTATGTAATGTATGTAATGTATGTAATGTATGTAATGTATGTAATGTATGTAATGTATGTGATGTATGTAATGTATGTAATATATGTAATGTAATGTAATGTAATGTAATGTAAGGTAATGTAATGTAATCTAATGTAATCTAATGTAATGTAATGTAATGTATGTATGTATGTATGGTTTGTATGTATGTATGTATGTATGTATGTATGTATGTATGTATGTATGTATGTATGTATGTAGGTATGTATGTATGTATGTAGGTACGTATGTATGTATGTATTTATGTATTTACTTATGCATGTATGTACTGTGCATCACAAGGAGTGGCTTCTCCTCATTAGCAAGACCTCCTTTCTCCCTGAGGTCCATGCTGGCAGGGGATGGCTGCCCATAGGCGTCACAAGGCCTCCCAAAGATGAGACGCCACCCCAATCCTCACCTGCCTCTCAACTGGGAAGCCCCACTCCTTGCCACCTTCATGGATTCAAAAGGCAAGTGACTGCAAAATGAGGACCTCTCTTCTCAGACCTGTAGGCTGCGCCTCTGGAGCAGTGCAGCGCAGAAGCGGAAGGCCAAAGAGCAAAGCGGCTGCGAGGCTGCGAGGCTGCGAGGCTCCGCGCGTCAAGAGGACGATGCTACGTGCACTCTGCAAGGCATCTTCTCATGATGAACAAGTGACCGAGCGAATTCAGACCGTTGTTCTATAATGACTATAATGACTTTAGAGCCCACATGCAACCCTTACTACTAGCAAGCCAAAGGCCGGCGCATCACCAGAGGGTTCGTTCCAAAGTCCGGCAGCACGCCTCGGTCTTTGCAAATTGTATTCCAGGTGACTCCAAAGCCAACATGTTCCGAGTAACCTGCTATAGCTTGTGGTTGGCTGGGATTCGCAGGATCAAATAAAGATCTGAATGCCATCTGCAACCAGGACAGCTCTGAGGCACTGGCTCCGGCGGAGGCATCGCACCTCCAAACATGGCAATGACAAAAAGTCCCAACCGGAAGTGCATCTCATGGGTGATGCTCAACATGGGCAGGGCCAGATGAAAACAGCCAAGGCTACAGTGTTACAGGCCCGCTGCCATCTCGCACCTGGATGTTGCGAGTAAGGTGGCATGGACATGCCCAAGTGCGTGCGGTCCTTAGCATAGGGAAGAATGCAGGCACAGAAAAGTGGCCGAATGGCTGTGGGTCAAAAAATAGGTACCCAAAATAGAACCCTGGTAAGTAGCAACATGGACCAAACCTGCGATCCCCTGGTGGTTTAATTTGACCCATACCCAAATAGACTGTGTATAAGGGGTCCTACTTCCAGCATCGCAGTCCATCCTTCAGCCAACAGTCGCGATCAGTCACATTGCTGCAACAGCTCTCTTTGGAACGCCCTGGCGCAGGAGCAAACTGCCGGCGTGCATGGCATCTGCAGGCAGGCTACGTCAGCAGGGTACTGGTCAACAGAGTAGAGGCCTGTCAAGCAACATCAAGATACAACTGCATCCAGGAGATCAAGCAAAGCAGTCGAGTTGAGACCTCGAGGCTTCTGCTGGGATCTTTCTAAAATTGAACTGCTCCTTGCCATTCAAAAGGACCACAAGCTGTCTCTGCCTCGATCAGCAGGCGGTGCAGGAGGTGGGGCCTCATGCTGTTTGAGACGGATCTAGATGTGTCAACATAAAGGAAATCTCCCCCTTGTTGGGTTTCCTAAAAAGGCAAACGAAAAGAAACCCACCATTTTCAAAGGGTCGCTGAATCTGAAGCCGAGTCATGACTGTCCCGAAGATATGCTCATATGATGCAACATCCTATTGCAGGAGCTGCAATCCAAGCAGTGGGCTCCACAGGCCGAATGAGACTCCCAAACACAGGACCTGTCAGGAGTCGTTGCGAGATACCTGCATTGTCGGCAAGCTTTGTGGTCAGCGAGTATCCGAGCAAGAAATTCAGTCAAAATCATCCATTGATCGAGCCTCTTGTTCTCTTACAGCACTCGCTTTGCAAAAGTCTTATCAATCTTGATAAGGTGTGCGACTGTCGCATCCATCTGCCATACAGGCCATACGTTGACCAACACTCCCGCGGAAACTGCCCAGCTTATTCTCGGCTCTCCGGCCGGAGGTGGCGGCCGCTGCATCCCCGACGCCAACCGGCGACGGACCGCTTTTGCGGAGACACGCCTCAGCAAGAGTCGGCGACACGCGGCTCGCTCAAATGGGGGGGAGGTTTCGGCCCAGAAAACAGGTCGAACCAGACCCAAGCAAAAGACTTGAGCTTCGAAAACTAGAAAGCAGCAGGGAGGTAAGAGCCAATAAAACGAGAGGTATCAAGTTAGACGCAAAACGAGAGGCATCAGGTTAGCCGCAAAGTTGCCGGCCAATGTCAGTCCTGAGGACACCGCCGGTCCCGAGCTGCCACGCAAGCCGAAAAGGTTGCAGCGGGGAGTATTGAGCCACGACCGGAGTTCCTTGCCCTCAGTGAGAAGAAACGTCCTGATGCCTTTGCGGAATGTTGAGCCGGCCGTTGATGCAAGAAACGGAAAATGCACATTGCTTTCAGCAAAACCTGATGCACAGAACGAGTGGGGACCACAAGCAGTAAGCAACATTAGGTCAAGTGACAGCACACGGAAAAAATGGGGCTTGCATGCGGCGAATGAGTGGCAAACCTAACACGCCTCAAATGATCCCTTTAGCTTTGAGCAGGCTGCATGGCAGAGCTCAATACTGCACAACCAATTTGTTCAATCTCCCTGCAACAGGGACAACACTCTTTTTGGGTTTGCAGCGCTATCTCCGATTTCAAGACGCCGCACTAAGCTTCAGGCCGTGGCTTGAATGATGAACGAGTGAAACTGACTGGCACTACAGCAAGTGCACCCCCTGCCCCGGAAAAAAGGGGGAAGGGCAAGGCCTAGCGGAAGCGCTGTACGCGAACAACCATCACAGGTGAAGTAACCTTCGGAGAAGGCACTCTTCAAGCAGTCAAAACAGATTCTGGTCCATTGGCAACGCTTTGAACTCACCGGAGTGCCTCAAGTTTGGTCAAGCTTTCCTGATTGGCTCATTTGCGAGCCACAGCAAGTCCGCCTCCAAGTTGTCCTTGCACGGACATAGCGTCAGGTCTACGCAACCCACCTAACTATGGAAGCCTCCAATGCACATCGGGCAATCAAAACTGCACAGCTGGCATTGACCACTGGTAAGTCCAACTCATGCGTGACACCGACGCTGCCCTTATTGTTTCCACTTCCTGGTCTGGCAGGGTCGCGGCAACCTGCTTGGCTGCCTCAAGCGCGCTCCAGTGCGCACAAACGAGCCCATTGGCAAGGAGTGATAGCCACTTCACTTGCTTTGCTTCATGTCGTTGAAAGCCCAAGCCCTCCGGGCCCACTCTAAGGAAGCACCCCACCCTCGAGCCCGAGTTCACATGCCTGCTCCCGCGGCTTTGAGCGCGGCAGAGGGCCAGAGCCAAGGAGTTCCTGGCCAGCCACCCCCTGAGGCCCTGCACAAAAAAAGACTCGCCATACCTTATCCACATGGCCTGTCGGAAATGTGCGCGACCCACTCAGCATAGTTATAGTGGAACAAGACCCTTCCAATTTCCGGTGACTTTGGAACCGGTGGCGATGGAGGCGGCGGCGGCTGTGCTGTGGTGGTGGAGGTGTTGGTGGCGGTGGTGGCGGCGGCGGCGGCGCTGGCGGTGGTGGTGGTGGTGACTAGCGAATGCTCTCTTGGGTTTCGAGCTTGAGCCATATATGATGTCGAGCATGCAATATAATGTCGATCGGCGCCCTGAGGCTCAGCACGGACTGCTCACAGCAAGCATTTTGCCTCTGTCAAAGACTGCAGCCACCGGCCTCCCAGAACCTCTTCTGCACCTCCGACGTGAGTTCTTCGCCTAGCAGAAGTGCTCTTCACGCATCATAATGATCTGGGTTGTAGACACAAACACGGAACCTGACAAATGGTTGCTTTGACAGGAAAATGGTTTGAGAAAGCTTGTGTCAGGTTCACATGAGCCCGGAGGGCGTTTTCCTCTAGCAACTGTCATAGGCTGACCAAGATCAAACTTTCTGGATGCCAGCCTGGCAAACATTCAATAGCTGTCTTGCCTTCGTCATCCTCAGACGCACGTGACATCTCGACCATCCATGGTAAATGCTTGTACCAGAGCGCTTTGCGTCCGTGCAAGTTGTCGTAACTCGGGAACGTCTTGTGAAACTTGCGTGCGGACACTGCATCTGGAAGACCCATCTTGCATTCACTGGCCGCACGGAGTTCGCTCGCTTGGGTTCGGACAACGGCTGCAACGTCTGCCTTCTTTTGCACGAGCAAGCCGCAAACCTGTCACGTGCAAGCCCAAGGATCACGACCCACGTGCATGCCGGAAGGCCAGCTTGAATCTCCAAGCAACCTTGGAATGGTCGTGCTTTCGGGTAAGACAAGATCAAACACTGGAATATTCAGAATGGACTTCCGATTACAGTCTCCTTGACATTGGGATGCTTCACGCAGATTCCGCCTCTTTCGCCGCTGATTGGGCGGCGAAATGCAGTGGCCGCAAACCATCCTGGCAGAGCTTGCCGGCCAAACAGTTTGAAATATGGCCAACGCCCTTCTTTTCAACATAGGCACGGATGAGGGTGAAACCTCTTCACGCTTGTCCATACTCGCTTGAACCAAGCATTGAGCATCCTTGTCACTATGCAACATGGGTTCGACGTTTTTGAGGGTTCCCGCTTTTTGGATGGCTAAAATGGAAACCCCAACAAAAGTTAACCACTTCGACGGCTCCCAAGTTTTGAGACATGCGTGGAAATCACTTCTGGCAAGGCCTCGTCTTTGGCCATCGCGTTTGCTCTGGCCTGCGAGGCAACTGTCCATGCCCCAAGAGAGCTTCCCCGGCAACAACAAAGGGAAAACCCCTTTTGAGCATGCATAGCCTGAAGAAGCATGTGCACGGCGGACAAGGAGCCATTGAGAGAGGCGTACCTGCGATTCCCTAAACTTCTTCAAGGCGCCTTGGAAGAAAGACAATTCGGCAAGTACAAAGAAGAGTGAAGCAAAACTTGGCTGCTTTGCACAGCATAGACACAATTCTGCATGCATTATTTGCGGTACTCCCTTTAAATTCAAGAGGGTCATTGGCGCAGTCTCTGCAAGGGATTTCTGCTCTTGCACGATGACATCTCCCACATCTGCCAAACCTTGCCAACTGCCCTGCAGGACGGCAAAAATAGCTGCGCACATCAGAGGCGTCATGCCCTCCTTCGGCCCTTTCTTCTTCACGGGCCAGTCCGCATCCTTGGCAGCAGCCAAAAGCAAGCCACTTCTACCACTTCTACCTACATCTCTTCACCAGGGTGACATGAAACAATGTGGTTCGTGGATGAGTGATGTTCACTGGTTCTCTCAGAGTGTCACTCAAGTAATGAAGTAATGTAGGCATGACTCGGCCTCCTTTAAAATAAGCAAATCAGGCCGAACTTGTGCACTTATGCCCGCTTGCATGCACACCTCAAATCGCACCAGCACCACACTCAAGTGCTATGGAACATTTGGTTCTCTTGGGCACCCAGCGTTGTCCCACATGCTGGTGGGAGGCTTTGGCCGCATCACGAAAGGCCGCCGAGTCTCCAGGTACGCACCCTGGCAAATAGGCAATCTGACTGGCCAATCAATAGCATCGCCTAGCCAACCGCCCTTTCTGATTCAGCCACTCTCACCGGCAGCAAAGTCCCTGTCATGAGCATTTTCCGAATGGTTCTTGTCCTTCCCACCGTGGTGAGAGGAATTATCTCTGAAATTTTGGTGTAGAGCCTCCTCCAGCGCGAGCTTCAAGCCGCCAATGTCATTATCGCGGCCTTGAACGTAGCCGGATGCAACGAATTGCTTGGGTGCCGCTCGAAAGTCGCTGGAGAAAAGCCTAACTGGCGGCCTTCACAGCCACACGGGTAAACCTTGGGTCAGTTGCCAAAGACAAACAGCAGAAAGAATGGCCATTTTGACCACGAGCGTTCTCATGATGGGCCTTGGATCTGAACCTGAAGGTCGGGGTATGCCTCATTCCTTCCCCAATGCAAGGGGGTCCTTTCTACTGGCGGGAGCCTTCCCCTTTCCAACATCTTTGGGCCGCTGGCTGGCCCTGAGCAGGCGCTGATTGAGCACGCCCTTGGAGTCCTCTCAGGCTCCAAACGCGTTTGTTCGCATCGAGCGGGCTTCGAAAAGCTAAAAAACCAAGGAGTGTGTCGAGTATAACTCAAACAAACGGCAAACCATCAAGCTTTGGCGCGAACACACACGCAGACAAAAGACCATGATGTGTTTGTCAATCCTTCGCACAGCCACCTGCCACTTCGAGGTGATCGAGAGAGCTAAAAAGGCTCAAATCACACAATGAGGCTAGTTAAGACGACCTGACCACCTATGCTACAAGCACGTTTTCAGAAGAGTTTGCAAGAAGCTATCAAGTCTCAAAACAAGACCGGTTTGCTGGGCGCTACAGCTAGCGGAATTGTGCCTGGACACCATTGACAGAGCATCCAAGCGGACAGAAAAAGCTGCATTTTCCCCGGAAGCATCACATTGCATCAGACGGTGGTAATACATCTTCCTGCCACTTATGTGCGAGTCGCATACGCTCTAGCTGCTCTTTCAAGGTCTCAGCAAGGTCTGCGTTTCCTGCCCAGGAAGGCAACGAGTCAAAGAACCTGCCCATGTTGTTGCCGATCTTCTGGAGACATAGGTCTGCCAATGAGTGAATGGGCACGGCCTTGCGGTGGATGGTGGGGAAGTCAATCTCCTGAAAGAAGGCATGGCTCTTGACCTCTTCAATATCGGCAGCACCGAGACGCGCATCCGGATCCTCCACGACCATACGCCCGATCAGATCCTTTGCGTTGGCGTCAACTCCAGGCGGAAACTGTAAATCCAGCGCCAAAACCCGCTGAAAGATTAGGTACTCCGACCTGTCATGAAAAGGCGGGCAGCCGCTCAACACTTGAAATGTCGTGCACCCCAAGGACCAAATGTCCGAGCGCTGATCACTGCACTTGTTTTCTATCATCTCTTTGGGCATGAATTGCGGAGTGCCCACGTAATCCTCGAACACCTTGTGGCGGGATGCATTGCCCGACCCCTTGATATGCGGGTTCTCAAGATCTTTGGCAGTGCCAAAATCGATGAGCTTTACGACACCCACTTGAGTCACCATGATGTTCTCTGCCTTCAAGTCTCTATGAACAATCCTTGCCTGCCTCAGGTAGGTCAAGGCATTGATGACCTGAGCCAGGTAAAAGCGAGCCCTTGGGACGGGACAGCCCACCGTCTTGATGAGCTCCCAGAGCTCTCCACCCAAGCACTCCTCCATCATCACAAAAACGCTGGTGTTGTCGGAGAACCAGCCCAGCATCTTCACGATGTTGCAGTGGTTCGTCCGCTGCAGGCAGTGCCTCTCCATGTACAAATCCGCTGTCTTCTTCAGGCGCTCGCAGCGGTACCGGTCCACGACCTTCATGGCACAACGCTGCCCTGTCGCCTTCTCCACCGCAGAGTACACGGAGGTGAAGGTGCCCCGCCCCAGCAGGACCCCGATCTCGAAATCCGTGTCCCGGTGTCTGGCCAAGGGCGGCAGCGGAAAAGACATGTTCCTCTCAGCCGCATGCCATGGCTCAGGGCCAAACTCTCAATGTTCAGCTTTGCATTGCTGCTCTGCATGCTGAAGGGCAACAACTAGACTGCCAGTCAACGGTTTTCTCATACCTGGTGACGGAAGTGTGCACAGGGTGCACTCGCAACATGGACAGGGCAACACCGATGTTGCTTGAGCTTTGCTGCAGGCCAACGTGCAGAATCTGTTTGGTGAAGAACACAAACGGCAGTGACATGCATTCATGCAAGGAATGCGCATCACTGCGGCATGAAGAAAAAGCACGAAAGCAAAAACAAATAATGCAAACAAACAAAGCAAACTGCCATGCTTGCCTGCACGCAGGCACGAAGGCATGCAGGCACACGTGCACCACACGCACACACATGCGCGGGCACGTGTTTCTCCTCATTGGCGGACTGAATGTTCGTGCAGCAACTAGCCGGGATCGCTTGGATGATCACCTTCCTGTCAACTGATAGCATCCAGCAGTCGGCCGCTGGTCAAAAGCCAAGGTTGGACTATGGTCTGGTTGCCATCTCACTTTCAGCAAGGGTCAAAGGCAAGGAAGCCTCCAATTTGACGCATCCCTTTCTGCGACTCTTGGCTGACTCAACACACGCAACCAGGCCAGGCGCGCTCCCCTGCCGACTTGTCGCAAGCGCACGAAGCCTCTTGCTTGGCTGAGTGCACGCAACGCCAATCACCCTAATCAAAACTGGGACAACCTCGAAGCCTCTGACCGACTGGCTGGGAGTGGGGGGGGATTGGCTGCCTCTGTGGAAGGCACTTCTGAGGCTGCTGCACCCATGGCGCTGGATTCAGCTAAGCCATGGCATCGCTAAGCTTTGGCGATCGTTCGTAAGCCCGTAGTTGTAGCCTCTGCGGGCAAACATGCCATGTCGCATGGCCACTGCACAGTGGAAAGTAACGCCTCTACATAAGGCTGTTGTTACAAACAGTGATCCGCAGAGTGCTGGCATGAGAAACCATTCGTTCTGCGCATGTGCTTGATACCTGAATGCAAACGGAATTTGTTGGAGCCGAATATGTGTCCAAGGAAGTCCAGCAAGGTCGCCTCCTTCCCTTTTTGCGCCAAGAGAGCGGCTCCCACCCTTTGCACGCTCCGCCTTTTATGGCTTAGGCTTCCTAAACCGGTTCTACCTCTAGCCCCAAATACACCTGAACTAACCCTAAACCAGCCCTACAGTAACCCCCGAACCAACCCACCTTGGGCCCATCCCTTAAACTCGCCCAAACCGAAGCCTAAAGCAACAGCCCGCTGGAACACCGAAACAATTAAGTCACAACTTATTTTCACAAGTTGCAAATATATATATATATATGTATATATATATACATATATATGTATTTATATATATACATATCTGTTGATTGTTGGTGTCATGTTTGGTGTGGATTGCAGCACTGTTGGGCGGTCAACTTTCGGCACTTTTGGCCTTTCTTCGGCACTTGCGAACGTCAGTCTTCTGGCACGTTTGGTCGCCGGTCATTTTTTGCACGTTTGTGCGGTCATTTCTGATCTAGGGGACGACTGACGACTGGCCCGAAAGAAATATTTCCAACAATTCGTGGCCAACGCGTTTAACCCACACACCCTCAAGAAGCAGCCCCACCAAAGATACCGGGGTGTGAGGGTCAAATCATTGAGCGACATGACGTCTGTAAGCGCTGTTTTGCAACTCTGCAAAGCGGTAGCGCAGCGGTCTTTTCTCGCTATGGCTTAAAGCCTCCATGTTGCGGATATTCACAGGTGCTCACATGTGTGCAGGGCATGATTGGATTTCACTGGTGGTCTAACATGCTGCCTTCATGCTCTGCACACACGCTACATTTGGGGTATGATTTACCTCCTCTGTAATGCTCACAAAGCGCACTCGTGTGATACACCTTGCCTGTTGCATGCACTTTGACAATGCCATCTTTCTGTCTGGTAGGCTTTCTAGCCCACAAATCGCCCTCACTGTCCACATCTTCAGCGTGCATCACAGTCTTCTTTTTCCGGCTCGTCTCATTCACAATCACCCGGATGAAGAAACGCCATGTCCAATTGACTAGGCCCAAGGCTCCAATCATTGCCAAAATGGCAATGAAAACCATCCACCATTCACTCATGCCGTCCTCGCCTTTCTTCTCATTGGGCTCTCCATTTGCCCTGACCAAATTGGCCAAAGCAACCACCATCATCATGCGACACTCACCTTTCAGGTCGTTCAGGATCTTCTTGTGTCAAGAGATGGCAAGGTGACGTCCCGTGGGACGCTGTCCACCCAGCTGTGTGTGCTCAACCACGTAGAAAGGTGTATACGGTCAAACCGTTATAGCCAAACCAGTGCAAATTGTTGTAAGGGGTAAAGACCAATAACCACGATTGTACACTCGGTATCTGCAGCGCGAATGAAACTGTTTTCCACTCTCCCTGATCGATCACGTGCGAACGTAGTTCATGCAAGACCTTGAGCCCTACTTGTGACTTGAGCCAAAGTGGCATTCAATGGAACATTCTAACCAACAAGAACATGGACCTCAGAACAGCTTCCACATTTTCACGGGGCCAGGAGGGTTTTAACATCCCCCATTTGGGTCGCATCGTTCATCACGGTCCAAACATCATAACACGTTCCAATGGCCACGGCTCCGACTACGAAACTGTGTCGAACACTCTTTCATTCACTATTGCTACACCGTCCATTCATTGTGAAACTTGCCGGGTTCACTTAAGACAGAAACATGCATCCGCAAATCGTAGCACATTCCCATACACAGATGCAACAGGCACTTTGCCTCGCACCATCACGCAACCCTTGGAAATCCCGGCTGCCGCATTTGCGCATCGTGCAGCCGTCATCCATAGAAATGAGTTGGCCATAGAAATCCATAGCAGCGCATGGTCGTAAGCCATCTGAATATCATTGGCAAAGAAGATTTGGCGAGCAATATATGCAAAATAGCCATTCCACCACGAATAATATAAGGAAAAGAAATCATCCATGAGGTAAGTGCCCATTCATGAATATCCGGAACGTCATAGCCGTCGGAATATGTAAATACATACACATCCATTCCCCTTGGACGCATGAAATTATATCATGTCAAAAGAAATGTTCCATCGTAACGAAATCGATGAGACGCAAGCGATGGATGGGGACTAGCCCACATCATGCTGCAATCTACATCGAAGTGAATTTTGTGTGCTGCTGATGGATGGGTCTGGCCCACACCATACCGCATAAGCAATGATAATCCACATCTGCATCACGTAGGTCGGTCCACAATGGACATCCTGTTGATGCGTCGACGGAACTCTTCGTCCAAATGTTGTTGGGCTTCTCGTGCCCGGACGCACTTCTTGCGACGCTCTTCTGAGAGCCAGTGTCCCTTTCGGAGACACCAATCCAGCAGGGGTGCGTCGCATTTGTTGGGGTCAGTGGCCGCAATAATGGCGCTCACGTTGACCGAATAACTATGTCTGCCAAGGTTCAAGCCTGCGCTTGTGAACGATATATATTTGCAGTTGAAAGCCAGGGAGAAGCATCTGTAAACAATATCACCCACCGGGTGTGTGCGATCCTTGACCAGGAGCTTCATCTCGTCTTTGGTGATGTCGAGGATCTTCGCTGCAATCCACACTTTTAGAATATGTGTAGCCCCTCGCATTTGGACGCCAAATAACGGATGTATTGGTTGCGCTCCTCCATCGTCCGGAAGGTCCTGGTCCGAACGTTCTGAGATTGGGTAACCTTTTGTTCCGTTGATGGCATAAGGATCCCTTCCTGATCAATCTCAGTAATGTCACTTCCCGAAGTCGTTGTGGTATGGGCAAGAGATGGTTCCTTCGACCGCGGCCTCGATCGTTCTCTTTTCTCCACCCTCGAACATCCCCCACATCTGCAGTGCGATGAATCCCGCCATGTATTGAGCCTCTCGTGGCTCGTCCAGGCAGATCGCCATCCGCTGGGAATTAATAATATCCCGTGATGCCATGTCATTGTCGCGGTACTCCCAACCACCGTCTTCTTCTTCGGACATGTAACCAGATGTGTATCCTTGCGTGTCCATGTCGTCGTCTTCGGAATCGTTTTCCGTCCCATCACCCTTTTCCTGCGCCGCCGCGTTGTCGTTAGCCTCATCTTGCGCTCGCCTGGCGTCACCTGACACATTGGGTCTACGGTCGTCCCCTTCGTCATCGGAACTGATGTGGATGCAGAATCTCCCGGTAGAGATTAATTGCGCCCCACATTCCAGGCATACACAGAAGCACGTGGGAATCGCGGTTGCACATGACGGACATATTCGGCATCGTAGCCCCTCCCATGTCTCGTCGTTCAGGATGATGGTCTTGCTGATCTCGTCCCTGATCTCGTTGGTCAGAGCATCAAACTCAAACAGTTTGCAGGCACGATCCACCATGTCTTGAACGTAGTGCAGATTTTCGGCACCCGCCTCTGTCTCAGGCATTCCCTCGATGATCTTTCCGACGTTCTGAAGGAACATCGCGGCCGACTCCTGGGAAGAACCAACGAAACCCGGACAGATCTCATTCTCGACACACTTTGAGTACGCCCACTTGACGCTCTCGTACTCCAGGCATTTCCCTCCGTTGCTTTTTTGCCAATCCAAATGGATTTGACCTCATAGAACGGGATTACGTCAAAGACCATAAAAGTCCCGTTGAACGCAACTCCAGCTCCGTGTCGCGCGAGGGTCGCACTGAGAATGTAGATGATTGCAATCGGATCTCCAGTCCTCAAACTTCGTAGCGTCCCCATGGAGCAAACGCCCCGAAGCGCAACGCCAGCCTGTTTCCGCCATCAATTCCGCCGGGGACTAGCCCACAGCGTACAGTGCCTGGCAGGTTCTCTACGTGTGTCACATGGAATGCTCCTCCGAGAGAATCACCCATCCTTGCAGAATACCTATTTGCCAGCGCGGATGAGCTCATGAAGCCAAAGTCACTGTGACCAGTTGTGACTCGGATGCACCAAGGCCTGTACCATCCATCGCATCTGTTGAATATCATTTCGATGTCACCCCGACCCAGGCCCATGTAGTTCAACTTCTCTGGCGGCCTTCATGTCATTCGGGTTCGTGATGCTTGGAAACCTTGCTGCTAGGATCTGGAACCTCGACTTCTTGTACCCAGACTCCTGCCACTTGATCACTTCCATGATGGCCATGTAGCGTCTTGCTTTCGAAGTTGTCGGTGGGAATATGTCATTATTCCGGTCGCTGATGACCGCGTCAATGTCAACCCATCCACCGTCATCACATCTGAAAGCACTTCCTCGGCAATTACCGATCTTGTGTCGAAGGACTCTGCATAGATCGTAAGATAGCTGCTTTGCTTGATCTTTCGATGCAAACACTGAGCGATCGTCGCCGATTCTGCAGTGCGGAGCGCCGTCGAAGGGAGCGATGCAGAAATTGACACTCTTGCCAAGCTGTGTCACATCGACCTGCTCCAGGACGGCACCCTTGGGGAAGAAGCTGGGATCTACCATATGCCATAAACGTATACGCCGATGGCACGCACACGCTATCGCCAAACTTCGGGATGTAGCATGGAATAGTGTCACATCCCCGCTCTAGCGTTGTCTTGAACGTCTTGTGATCCCCGCACGGATTGTAGGTGAGGCCCACGCCACCGCATTGTAGCTCTCCCCCTTCAGCAGTGTCAGCCATCTCCACCAGATTGATGGTATAGCTACACATTTCTACTATTTCTTTCCCCTTCTGTCCCTTTCTTGCGTTCCTTGGAGTCGATGATGACGGTTCTTCAGCATCCCCCATTTCTTCATCCGAGGAAACGTGATCGCTGCTGACAAGCTCACGCATCTTCTTCATC